CAGCAGGAGTAACTATTGCTGTTGGCACTGGCATGTGGCGGCAGCCAAGGACAGATCCTGGCTCTGGGGTGAGCTCTCTCTCTGAGGGACCTCCTGGTTTGCTGCTTCTGGTGTAGCTCGCCTGAGAGGGAGGTTTGCAGATGAGTGGTGTTCTTGCTGTACACATGTCCTTTTCTGTGTTAAAAAGAACACAATGTGTTTTCTTCTTAGTTTTTCAGAAGATGTGTTTTCAAGTAGGCATTTTCCGCCTGTACCGACCTTGGCACTGCGACTGTTGTCTGTGTCCTGTCAAACTGCATGACGCCATGCATGCTCATAGACAGTGAGAGCTTTTTAATTACAGAATGTATTTTAACCTTGAAGGTTGCTTTTCAGTGATTTCTTTGATCCCAGGGTGCTGGCTATAGTAACTAGAGCTTCAAGATGCAGCTTAAAGCTCCTTTTAACAGATTCTTCAGCTCACGCTTGTAATAAACCCCTTTTCTGGGGAGGTGGAGGAGCTGACCAGGTTAGAGCGACCTGTGCTGTTCACAAAGTTTATAGTTTGATGACGATGCAGATAGTCATCTTTCTGCCTGCTTCTGGGCAGGCAGCGCACTCTGAGCTGCTTCACAAGCCTGGTGTTTTTGCTCAGCTCTGTCTTTAAGGGCAGCTTCTCCCGTGGGGTTGCAAGAGATGATCCTGCTGAGCACCCGCATCCATGCTGCGGCACCCTGCTGCCCACACCCCTCAACATCAGCATGAGGCGCTACATGGGTACTGTTTGCATTGAGAGGGATCGAGATACTCGTTTCATTTGCAGTAAAAAAACTCTTCCAAAACTTCTTTACTGTCTCACTGCTACGTTAGTTCTCTCTGGCTGACCTCGGCGCGGGTGCGGCTGTGCGCCTGGTCCTGGGGCCGGTGCAGCTCCCTTGCCTGCCTGGTCACGGGGCAAAGGGCTGCACCGTGCTCCCAGGTACCCGCTTAAATTTGCTCCCCGTTAAACCAGCGAAGAGGTATCCAGAGTCCAAGTTGCATTTCTCACGAGATTTTAAGCCTGACTTTTGATTTCCCCTAAGTATACTTGTCCTGTTATTTCAGTCCATTTGTGGTATGTGGACAGCAGACTGAGCGTTTCTGAAATTTTTGTTGTTTGCTATTTTCTTCCTATCTGAAATAAACCTTTTGTCCATATATTTTTTTGCTACAGTACAGTCAGATATGCTTTTGTTTCTGAACTCTCCCTGGATTTCATTTTTAGCCAACTTTTGTTTCTGCTTATTTTGAGTGTTGCTATTAAGGTAGATCATGCTGTGAACTGAGATGAACTTAGGTAAAAAGTCCACTTCTCGCATTAGCGCATTGTTTGCGCTGAAAGCATATTTGGATATGGAAAGCTTTTCAGAAATGGCTACTTTTCTGTGAAATACAGCTTTTAATTCCAGATTGTTTACGTGTAGGGCAACTAATGATTCGATATACAAAGGCAGAGAGGGAACCTCCTTTCCTGTTTGTGGAACGTTCTAGGCTCCATTTAAAAAATTTCCATCTTTCTGAAGGATATATGGATTCTGCTTAGTTTCTTTTGAACACAGTAGGGTTTTTACCTTTAACTTCTGTGTGAGAATTAGAAGGTGATTATTCTGGGTAGTCATAATCCACTCTGTGTAATTTATTCCTGTTTATTCATATGGATAAGGAGAAAAGATTTTGAAGGGGTAAAAGTCTGTTGTTTAGAAGCTGGAATGCAGCGTGGACTTCCGTAGCCTGTGATCATTTTACAGGTTTGTTCAGATTCTGTAGCTGCAAAAACATTTTGTTCCTTTGACATGCTATCCATCAGACCAGAAGTACTAGATGTCAAGGGAGGGGAGGAGAAGCGTTGGAGAGATTTGTTTGTTACACCATCGGAGTTTTTTCCTGGACACTTCAGTCATATGTTAAATTTTTCATTATCTTCTCCCATTGTCTAGACTAAGAGGAGTTTATGAAATTTCTTGCAGTGCACTTGTTAGAGCAGAGGAAAGCTTTCTTGATGTCATTATTATTAAAAAGGCTTATTATGTTACTAATGGTCTAGCGGTCAGTGGGAATGGGACGTTGCTAAAGAGCGCTCCGAGTGCAGGCACGGTGATGGTCTCGGGTCAACCAGGAGGCAGAGGAGAGGGAAGTTTGTGGTCTTCGGTGATGCACTCCATGTTCATTTATAAGTGGTCCTCCTGTAAGCATGGAGAGACAAGAGGAAGGTATGGTTGGGAGAAAAGGGATGCAGAGGGAAGGAGCCCACGGGCGGGCAGAGCTGCAGGGTTCTCCTAAACCTTCCTGGGCTGAAGGCTGCTGTGTGTCTCTGGCTGTCCCGCTGGTCCGGCCAGCCTGACCGCTCTGCTCCACCGCCGAGTGCTGCCGGGGGAAGCTGTACGGCTTTTGCTGCCCGTGCTCACCGGTATGTGACGGTGTCAGTACAACTGGAGGTATTTTGCCATCGATATGCTAACATTTTATGGATTTAAGAGAAGAATTAAGTTTTACAGTCACTATTTTAAACATGTTAAGCTAGGATTTATATTTTTTAAAATCTACTGATAGAATAGGTGGCAAATTTTGCAATTCTGTTAATTATATGATAAATTTTATTTTACTACCTTGCTTCTCCTGAGTACAGAACATGATCTCTACTACTGCTTCCTCTTCATTTGAAATCAGTATTTCATTTAGGATGTAAAAATACACAGAGAGTAGACCTAGTTTATAATGAAGAAATAAAAAGACTAGCAAGTTCATCACTGAATAATTTATAGACTGAAACCTGATTAATGACATTTAGTCCTCCCAATTCTTGTTTAACTTGATGTGGTGGTTAGCCTCTGGAGTTCTTGTTTTGAATCACAGTGTTCATAGATCTGTGTTCCATGTGGGCTTTGAGATATACATAAAAACTATTAATAGAATAATTTCCTAGAATGGGGGTTAGGGCCTTCGAGTTAATTTCTTGGCTTTTATTATAGACTTTTCTGGTCAAGTCATTCAGACTTCGTGCCTCAGGTCCTCATTTGAGGAGGAGCGCAAATACTTTCCTCCCTCAAAGACGATGGAAGAGATGTTTGTTAATATTTGTGAGGTTTTTCAGGTGCTCTGGTGATGGGGTCCTTGTAAGCACATGAGAGGGGACGGTCTCAGCCCTTTGCAGGACTGCCTGTGAGGTCTGCAGCCTTTTGGGCAGGGCTCTGCTGCTCGCGGGGAGCTCTGTGGGTACAGGACCCAAACCTGCACAAGTATGTGTTAATGAAGAGGCTTTAGAGGAAAAAAACAGATGAGAAATAACCACAGAAATCTAGTTTTTCCTCTCCAGAAAATGTTAAAATTTGTGCATGAGAACTGGCCCGTTCTGCTGCATTTCAGAAGTAGGTTTTTCAGTTTTTTCCTGACATGAAGTAGTTCAGAGTTCGCGTTTTACAAGGATTAGGTGCTCAGTCTTAGTTCTGCAGAAATGTGAGTGATATTCAACAATCTTGTTTAGGGCATGAGTACTTTGTACAGGGTATTTGTGGTTATTTTTATAAAAATAAATAGTACATATGAAAATATAAATTTTAAAATTGGAAACAGAAATAGCCTGGTAAAAGTTTGACTTAATGCTATGACAATATTGTTGTTTTACCAAGGCACAGTACTGCTGGGCTACATTGATTTTAAAATTTATGTACTTGTATTGTTGCCCGTATGAAATTTTTATAGGCATTATATTAAAATGAATATTGAGGTTACTTGACAAATAAAGGAAATCTTTGTTAATGTGGTTTAAATGAGTGATTGTGACATTATAAATTAGGCAAAGTAGATGTTAAGTGCACTGCAGCCAAGCTGGGGGCCTAACGGAGCTTATGTTGGCTCATTTTCCAAATGATATATGGCAATTGCAGTGTTAACAGCCTGATGTAGCTTTGATTGACTTGTACATTTATTTTACATGGTGCAAGCTAAAACCTGATGCAAGAACGAAGAAACGAAGCGATGACCAGAATGTCCCCTGGGAAGTGCTGTGACCCCAGGGCTCAGCTCGCCCAAGGCAAGGCCAGTCCAGGGCTCCACCTGATATTGCCTGTGTGCTTCTGCCTGCAGTCTCGTTTCTCCGTTTTTGAGGAAAAACACCCAGTGTTTGGTGCTCCAGCTCCCGGTGGCAGCCCCGTACTATCCTTCCATTCAACCCGCCAATATCTAACTGGGGTAAAAACCCCGCTGGACAAACCAGGGGAAGCCTGGGAGCTCTCCTTTAAACTGTTGTGCTCTTGCTTCTGTAGTGGCATACGGTGAAGGGAACTATGTGCAATCACCAATGGCTTTTTTTCCCAATTTATGCTCAGTTGCAGCATTTTCAACCTTATTAGATAAGTACAGATTCTTAAAGGGGAATTCTAGCAACATCACGCTGTGTGGTGTAGGCTTTTGATACGTTAAGCCTGAAGTGTAAAAGTTATCTCTCTTCTACACTGAATAAGTACTAATATTACTAATATCCTGTGTTGGATAGTATTAATATTTACAGTGGGGGAAAAGTGATATTTCTTGTGTACCTCAAACTCTAAGAACCTTTTTTTAAAAAAAAAAAAAACAACCTTTAAAAAAATCACAATATAGAGACTGCAAGTCTAATTTCAGGCTAGTAAGGTGATGTCTGGAAAGGTATTCATAGGTGAAAATTTAATTTTCATAAAATAAATTGCAACGTTGAATTCTGTGAATTCAACAATCCCTCTGTGTTTGTGACTTGACTACAGGCCAGTTGACGTTAATGGCTGTAGTTCAATGAACTCTCGTGGTCTTTAGCTAGAGCAGCAGGCTGCCTGTCGTGCTGTGAGTTGATGCAGTGGATGGGCAGCGGTATCTCATTTTTCATGAGTCTTTTACATTGATGTTTCATTTTAGTGATCCTTTTCTCCAAAATATGTTAAAGGTCTGGTTTAAAAGAAGTAGTTTCAAGTAACTCCTTTTTTTCTTTTCTTCTTTTTTTTCTTCCAGTATCCGCAGTGTTATGCAGAAATACCTTGAGGAAAGGGGTGAATTAACCTTCGACAAGATCTTTCATCAGAAAATTGGTAAGTCCTATTTCAATAAAATGTTACTCATGTAAATATTGTTAAGATTGGCTCGCCTGCCACTTCTCTGTAACGACTGCTGAAAAATCAATGTTGTAGATAGTCTGAAGAACACTGGAATATGGACAGGACTTAGTAAAACAAAGGTCTTCAATAAAATGAAATGTTGTGAAAGGGAAGAAGATGAAGCAAGGCAATCTGTCAACTTAACTTCATGTTCTGGAAAACTACTGGAAAAATAATTAAATTATTTGGAAACATCAAGGAGAAAATTATATTACTTGGTATGGGCTTGTCAACAATATAATTTGTCACATCAGTTAAACGTTTTTTTTTTTCTCTGCAGGGGTAATAAGCCTTGTTGATAAAGGGAGCAGTAGTAGAAAAGATACCATACATGTTGTCTTGACTGTCTGACATCATGTTCTTGCTAACAACACAGGGAGATGTGGCCTGGGTGAAACTGCTGTGTGCAGGGGGCGAAACTGTTGGGAGAATTGACTTGAGGAACAGTTATCAGTGCTTCCGTGTGAACGTGGAAGGATGTATCCAGGGATTTTGCACAAGAGCGTCAGATCAGCAGTGCTTCTCAGTCAAAACAAGCAGTGTCCTCTACACCTGTGCTGGGGTAATTACACAGATACAGGGTGGAGAATCACTGATCAGGTAGACATTTTTAATTGACTTGGCTGTTACGGAGAGCTGTAGATTGTATTGTCTCAGCTAGATCACACGACTAAATATAAAATCAGGATTGTAGCCAGGGAGGCGTGTGAAGTAATCCTCTTCTTGTGTCCATCAGAATATTGTGTCCATCCTGGCACTGGACTACAAAATATACATGGACCTGCTGGAAAGAGTCCAGGAAATAGCAGTGGGAATGAGCAGACCTTACTTAGCAGTCTGCTAAATATGACCTACAAGGAAGTATTGAAATAGGGTGTTATGTCGGCTATGAAAGAGAGAAGTGAGGTTGAACAATCTTCAAAAACAGAAAAGTTGTTGCAGAAATGATGAGGTTAGTCAATTTTCCACAGGCTTAATGTATGAATTAAAAAAACCCCAAAACCTGGATATGAACAAAACCATTTTAGTAGTAGGATGGGTAGTAAGGCAGGGGAATGGATTTCATGAGGGGCTTGTGAAATCTTTGCCCAGTAGATTTGAGAAGTGGGTTGGCATATGTCTGCTAGGATAGTACAGCTGCTCTTGTCTTGGAAAACAGGGACAAAACCATAAAATGGGCTGGGAAGACTCGAGGAGATCAATGGATCTATTCCTGTCTGAAATACACCGAGACCGTAATTAACAGTGGAAGCAAATGCCCAAGAAAAAAGTGCTGCTGCGCCTTGTTTCCTGGGGAAGGTGGTGCAATGGGGGCATCTTTTGGGATGGTTGAACTTTAGCAGGTCTCCCTTCCTGGCTGGAGCAGAAATGTCCAGCCTTCCTGGTTGCCTGGAAATGTGCAGCTCAGTAGGTATGAGAATATTCTGGAGTGAGAGTTTTAAGTATTGCCACATTGAAATAAATAGTATTCTTGTATAGCATCACAGTTTGTTATTAATGGGTTTCATAGCTTTATACAAAGGGTTGTAGAAACACCAGTCTAAAGTATGTGTTCATAGAAGTCTCATGGAGCTTTCCATTGTATTACAGTAATTGAAGTGTAGTCTGTATCTTTGTGCATAAAAACTATGACTTTTTATTCTGGCCAAAAATTTTACACTGTAAATGCATAGATACCTCGTTTGCTTGTGCTGACATCTCTTGGTATGCGCTTCAGTTTAGATGTCTGTGCTGAATCATTAATATTTTGCTATGGCATGGCAGTTGCAAAATAAGTAGAATTTTAAGCAACCAAACACAGGCTGACTAACTGTTTGATTCTGTTTGGTGGCAATGAAATGAAGAAGTCTTCCCCCCACCTCCCCCCCTTAAAAAAAAAAAAGTCAGAACAGCTTATATGTAATGGATATTTCTATTTATGTAATTGAATACTTTTCATTAATAGTTGGTTTCAGAGAACAGTGAAGAATATTTTGGTAAGCTATAGCAATTATAGTTAGGTAACTGTAACCTTGGAAGGATTTTATCTTTCTTTTTTCCCCATGTTGGTAGCCATCGAACCTGGAATTTTAGAGCCCAGGGTTTCTTTAACATACTAGTTTCTCCCCCAGATCTTGAGATGCATAGTTCACAGATGTGCAGAGAGGTTTTTTCCTCCTCTCCCCTTGGTACAGTCATAGCGGTACTTGCCCTCTGTTACCTGGAAATGAGGAGGTCTTCTGTGACCACTTTGCTGGAGTTTCGGTTACTTCTGAAGCTGGCTTCTTCTGAAGAAGGATTTAGAATGGAAGAAAAAAAAGATCAAAGATAAACATGACCATTTTTAACAGAAGACTTTGCATTGCGCTGGAAAATATTTCCTTACTGTGATTGTTCATTTAAATTTTACTGCGTTTTCTAGCTTGTTCTTTGCCATTAAATTAGTTCTGTTTCCAGACATTAGCATAGTTGCTTGTGGTAAAGTACCTTCAATTTTAGGCATGCATTATGCAAAAGGCTGTGAAAATAAATATAGTGAGGTAATTAAAAGTCTAATCACCTTTTTACTCTTGTTGTTATCTCTGTGTGGCGGGGATGTGGAGAGACCGCATCTGAGGCTGGACCTGCTTGCGCGGTTCTGGGGCAGACGCCCCGTGGGAGGCAGCTCCTGCTCAGAGGAGTTTAAATCAGCCTGAGTCAAACGAGCCTCTCATCATGAGCTGTAATTCTGCTGGTTCATCCCCTTGTTACTGGCTCTTCCTATGCCTTTATTTTCTCAGTCAAAGAGCCATCTAGTATACAGTGCTGTGCTGGTTTTGGCTGGTGTAAGGTTAATTTTCTTCACAGTAGCTAATATGGGGCTATGTTTTGGGTTTGTGCTGAAAACAGTGTTGATAACACAGGGATGTTTTCGTTATTGCTGAGCAGTGCTGACACACAGTCAAGGCCTTTTCTGCCTCTCACCCCACCCCACCAGCGAGCAGGCTGGGGGGGCACAAGAAGCTGGGAGGGGACACGGATGGGACAGCTGACCCCAACTGTCCAAAGGGATGTTCCACACCATGTAACATCATGCTCAGCACATAAAGCTGGGGGGAAAAAGGAGGAAGGGGGGACATTCGGAGTGATGGCGTTTGTCTTCCCAAGTCACCGTTAGGCGTGATGGAGCCCTGCTTTCCTGGAGATGGCTGAACACCTCCCTGCCCATGGGAAGGAGCGAATGAATTCCTTGTTTTGCTTTGCTTGCATGTGCGGCTTTTGCTTTACCTATTAAACTGTCTTTATCTCAGCCCACAAGTTTTCTCACTTTTACCCTTCTGATTCTCTCCCCCATCCCACCGGGGGGGAGTGAGCGAGCGGCTGGGTGGGGCTTAGTTGCTGGCTGGGGTTAAACCACAACAAGCGCTTTCTCCCTGTATACTAATGATAAAATTTCATCAAGCTACCTATTTTTTCCTTGGCAAGCGATGTAGATGAGGACTGTTAAGCGCTTTTTTTCCAGACCACAATTCTTTCTTACAGCTCCAGGTCATTGTTTTTTTTCTATTTTTCAGTATCCTACTTTCAAATGTGAAAAACAGGGCTTTGATCAGTTGTCTGATACAAGTCTTTCTGATGTCCTAGATGGAGTCGTTCCTGTTGGATGTTTTCCTATGAGTATGTCTAATTATGGTGCTGATCTTATCAGCTGCAAGTGTTTATCCTTAATGAGCCTTTAAATCCGTTTAGGATCAGTGCTTTCCAGGTCACACTTTACAGTGTGAGACACTGTACACTTTACACTTACAGATCGGCCCAAATTCCCTCCCCGCCACCTCCCCCAGGTGTGCAACTGCAGGGAATCGCATGGGTGGCTTGGGCTTGGAAACCAAAACCTTTGCTCTGCCCTTTAGGATCAAAATAAGAGCAGGCAACTCTGTCAGCGTGCAGTGTGGCAGCAGCCTGCCCGGGGATGAAAATGGCCTGGAGACTTCATAACGCTTACATAAATAAGTGTCTGTCCTCTATTTACATCTTTTTCTCCATGAAGGCAAACAGGTTGCTCTCATCTCTTGAAGATGGCATGACTCTTTTGCAGGAGTGATGCTCCAGAATGATCTTGAACTCTCTAAGAATTGCCTAAGGAGTCAGAGGACATGAAGATAATAAGAGACACCCAGAAAAATGCTCTGGCAGTGCTTAATAGCCCAGCAGCCGGCTGTTCCCGCAGAAGCTGCTTCCTCCACAGCAGAAGCTTCATGGGGAAGTACAGCATGTCTCGAAGTGGAGTGCATAACCACCTTTAGCTAGTTTTCTTTTCACCACATCCTGTTTTCTACAACACCAGATTACGTGTTTGCTTTAGAAAAAGAGATGTTTTCTGGTATCCCATTATCTATAATTTACATGTGGAATCCACTATGCTTCACGACTGCATTAAAATTGCATGTGGAATTCTTCTTGTGCTCCCTTGCACTGCAGGGTGGGCGCGCTTGTAAAAATGGTGCTTTCAGAGGGCAGTTTTGGTATGAGCTGTAATGCACGTAGCTGCTGGGCGGATCGGGGTCTGCTGCAGCAAGCACAACTGCCAAGTGTTAAAGGGAGTGAATTAGGTCATAATATTACTTTAGAACAGGGTTATCGTGGTTATTAAAGCTAAATGCTTTGGAGCAAACTTGTTGCCAGTTATAGTTCAGTGACTCTTAGGTCTGACACTGGACTTTCTGACAAATTGCGTCTACCTGGTAGGCAGTGAATAAAGTTGGCTTAGAAATTCTGGGATGTGACAGTAAAGCATCCTACAGCTTCAGGTCCTGGCTTAGGTTCGGCCTTGAGTTCTCTGGTGACTGCTTGGAAGCTGGTGGGACATGGCAGTTTGTCTGCGTCCTTCTCAGTTTCTCATCTGTTGCACAGAGCCGTTGGGTTTGGGTCTTGGGGAAAGATGAGAACAGAACATATTTTAGCTGTTTCAGCAG